AATCTCTGTGTATGCTGGCCTTCTACAGGTTAATAGTTATTATTATTACTGTATTATTGTTGTTGATTATGATGTGTCTTAGGATAATTGTGGGGTAAGAGGCTACAGGAACTTTCTCTGAACCTTCTCAGGGGGGAGGTGGTCACTGAATATCCTGAACAACACTTGAGAAGTTTTTGTTTCAAACAAAGAATCTTTTGCCACATCCTCCTTCCCGTTGAGCATGTGATCTTCAAGAGAAATTGATTCACATGTCTCTGAATCATTTACAATTAAATCGTCAGCATATAATTTTCTAAAAGCTACTAGGTGTCCAAGAAGCTTTCAGAACCTGTTTTATAATTCCTCTCCAGTCCTTTTCTTAAAACAGGAAGTTGAATTTTGCCAAAGACAAATAAACTCAAACATTCAGCTTCCAGCTCCAAACTCCAGGCTTTGAGCACATCTGTGATTTTACAAAATACATCCTTGCAACTTTACAAAGCTTTTGATTGGAAAAAAAAAAAACAAAGGTGATAAAAGTGTGTAAAAGTATTTATGTGCATTATGACTCTCAGGGGTGTGTTTACAGAAAGATAGAAAGAATCATGAAATGTGTCAGGGGTATTCTTAAAACCATTACACATAGGTGAAAATGCATTTGGATCTTATTTCTCTAGATATGTCTGAATATTATCACAAGTTTCGTCAAACAAAACATTTTATCTTTGCTTTTCACTCATTCTCCTTACTATAACTTTAAGTCTTAAACACTTCAGTAAACTCAGGAACATAGTTTGTCCAGCAGAAGGAACTGAAGCATCTGTGGTAGTTTCATGTCTTTATCAGGATGAGGTACCATTTCCACTTATAAATGTAATTGACACTATTCTTGGTACTGGAAAAATGCAGAAAGTTACCTCTGTTCATACTCTGACGTCTTAATCGTTTGCCAATCTTCTCACCTGGCAAAGACGACCAACTCTGATCTTGAAATTCCCCGCTATCTCATAGTGTCGCAGAATAAAGAAGCAATGGTTGGGAAAGGTGTGGGGGACGATTTGAAGCAGTCCCCTTAATTCTGTGCCATAGATTCTACTTCAGGACTTCTGCACTGCAGAGTAACCAATTGGATGCTGGGATGACAGGTGTCATATAAAAAAATGCTTGATTTAAACTTTATTAATTAAGTAATCAGTTTATTCATTGATCGATGATCTTACTAATAGCCCAAGAGGAACTTGAGGATCATATAAAACTGGCTTTAGATGAGGAACTGGGGCAGTTGCAGCTTGAGAGAAACTCTAAGATGCCCAACAGAGAGATTTAGGGAAGCAAATGTGAGGAGCTTAGACAGAAGTTAGCATGAGCTGTTTCAGGGCATAAGGTCTAAGCAAATGTTGGTAGAGTGTCTAAAGTAGACACGAGGTCATGTTACCTTTAGAACACCGAACTACAAGGAGCCCATGTTTAATCACCTAACATGCCTTTCTCTCTTGGAACATAGGATCTGAAACAAACGGTATTTGAACAACGGTGTGCAGTCTGTTACCTGTGATGGTTGGAGAGACCTAATCTTGTGCTTCACAGCATATTTTTGAAAAGTGTGCAATTTAGATTTCTTACAATAGAAAAGTAAATGTATATAATATGCACATATGCCCTGCATCCCTTCATTTATGATTCTTATTAAAAATTCAGCTATATCATAGCACTTAAGAAGCAAACTACCATGAAGCATGGTATCACGTGACTTCAAAAGGCATGGACCTTTTCTGCCTCTACTTAAAGTCACTTGGACCTTGATATGTACTTATGTATAGATTATATTCTATATAAATTGTACTTTCTCTTTTTACTGTACTTAATTCACAATGAACAAATATAATGCTAACAATAAAATATCTTTTAAGATTTTGCTTCATGTTTTGAACCATTTCATGTTTTGTTTTGTTTTTTTTGATTTTCGAGGCAGGTTTCTCTGTGGTTTTTGAAGCCTGTCCTGGAATTAGTTCTTGTAGACCAGGCTGGTCTCGAACTCACAGAAATTCGCCCGCCTCTGCCTCCCAAGTGTTGGAATTAAAAGTATGTGCCACCACCACCCGGTGCCATTTCATGTTTTATCCCAAATAAATATTAATTATCTGTATCCTACCTTGCCTAATAAGAATTTACACTCCCCCAAATAATATTATCTTTAGGCACTGTGTGATAGGATAATCAAAAAGTCGAGAAGGCATTTTATAAAATACAGAACAACACAGTTCACCAACGTCTCTATGAATATAATGAGATTTTCAGGAAAAGAACTGAATAAGCTAACTCTCAGATTAACAATGCAGAGAGAATTGCTGGCCACATACAGATCATTTAAGATAAAAGCTTGGAACAGGAGTCTCTCCATAGGAGGACAGGAATTTTATAGAAAATCTCATTCTGAAAACAATGAATAAAATTTACCTGTCTGTGCTAGTTAGTATTTATTGTCAACTTAACACAATCTAGAGTCACCTGAGAAGAGGAAACCTCAATTGAAGAATTGCTCAAATCAGGTAGTTCTGTCACCAAGCCAATGAGGCACTGTCTTAATTGATGAATGAGGTGGAGGAGCTCAGCCCACTGTGCATGACACTGTTTGTAGGGACATGGATCCATGTTTTCTAAGAAATCTTTCTAAGCCTAATCCTGAGAACAAGCTACTAAGCAACATCCCTCCTTGGATTTTGCTTCAGTTCTTGCCCTGACTTCCCCCAATGATGGATTGTGACATAGAATTCCAAGCTAAAGAGAAGGGTCTCAGTTTCAAGAGGTTCCAGTTATTAGTGGTTTCTCTCAGTGTCTGTGCTACTGAGGTTATATTTAAGAAGTGGTCTCCTATGCCAATGCATTCAAGTGTACTTCCCACTTTCTCTTCTATGAGGTTAACTGTGGTTGGTTTTATGTTGAGGTCTTTGATCCATTGGACTTGACTTTTGTGCATGCAAAGGACATGGTCAACAAAACAAAACAGCAGCCTACAGAACGGGGAAAGATCTTCACCAACCCCACATCAGACAAAGGACTGATCTCAAAAATATACAAAGAACTCAAGAAATTGGTCATCAAAAAAACCCAAATAATCCAATAAAAAATAGGGTACAGACCTAAACTCTCAAAAGATGAATCTGAAATGGCTGAAAAACACTTAAGAAAATGCTCAACATCCTCAGTTATCAGAGAAATGCAAATCAAAACAACTCTGAGACTCTTTCTTATACCTGTAAGAATGGCCAAGATCAAAAACATTGATGACAACTCATGCTGAAGAGGATGTGGGATAAAGGGAACACTTCTGCATTGCTGGTGGGAGTGCAAACTCATACAGCCACTTTGGATGTCAGTTCAGCGATTTCTCAGAAAATTGGGAAACAACCTACCTCAAGACCCAGCAATACCACTTCTGGGTATATATCCAAAGGATGCTCAATCATGCCACAAGGACACGTGCTCAACTATGTTCATAACAGCATTGTTTGTCATAGCCAGAACCTGGAAACAACCTAAACGCCCCTCGACCGAAGAATGGATAAGGAAAATATGGTACATTCACACAATGGAGTACTACACAGCAGAAAAAACTAACATCTTGAAATTTTCAGGAAAAAGGATGGATCTAGAAAACATCATATTGAGTGAGGTAACCTAGACCCAGAAAGACAAATATCACATGTACTCACTCATAAGTGGCTTTTAGACATAAAGCAAAGAAAAAGCAGCCTACAATTCACAATCCCAGAAAGCCTAGACAACAAAGAGAACCCTAAGAGAGACAGACATACATGAATCTAGTCAACATGAGAAGTAGGAAAAGACAGGATCACCTGAGTAAATAGGGAGCATGGGGATCATGGGAGATGGTAGAAGAGGAGGGGGGAGGAATGGAGGGGAGCAGAAAAAAGTATATAGCTCAATAAAAGCAATCTAAAAAAAGAATTCCAAACTAAAATAAACCTTTACTCTCCAAGTTGTTTGGACCCAAACATCTTAGCACACAGCAACAGAAAATCAAATTAGAACTTATCAAAGTCAGTCTGAACAATAGCCTAAACAGCCTGTTTCTCATTGTGCTTTATTATTTAGAGTTTTAAGTAAGATATGTCATTTCCTCCCTTCCTTTTCTTCCCTCCAACCACTCCCATGTCCTGTCTCTCCAGTCCTTCCCATGCCCCCCATCAGTCCCTCTCAAAGTCATGGCCTCTTTTTCTTGTATTACTATTAGTATTATTATTATTACTACTACTACTACTACTGCTACAATTCCAACTACTACGACCACTATAATTACATGTGTAAATCATATGTGTAATTGTAGCTGATGAGTGGGCTTAGCATTAATGTGTGTATATGATTTCTGGGCTGATCACTTTGTATTATAAAACCATTTAAAAGGCCCTTGTCTGGGAAAGACTAATTCTTCCTCCCGCAACAGTCATTGGGATTTCTTTGTCTATGGGTGGAGCCCTGTGAGATTTCCCCTTCCACCTTAGCATATGTATGGGTTTTATCCTTATCCACATCTTATTTAAGAAGTCATTTTGTAGAGGTTTGAAGACTGTAGCTTCCCTGTCATTTCCACACGGCTCAATCAGCAGCAGGTTTCGTAGTTCTCTGGCATATGTATGCACACATACACAGAAAATTTTGCAATGTTGAAGAGATCATGGGCAAGCAACGTTTCAGAAAATATTTCAAGATGGCACCTTGTGCTCATGCCAATGCAAAGATTTATTTCAAGCTAGTTACTTTCTAATTTGACATCAATAAGAAAACATCAATAAGGTTTTTTTTCTTTCTCAGATCTTTATATTTTAAGGGCCCAAATAATCATATAACTCCTAAAAAAGACATAATGAGGTCCTTTTATAATGATCGGGACATTCACTTTGTTTTCTGTGACCTCCACAGACTGCACAACTGTTCCAATTTTCTATTTGGAATCATTGTTATAATGTATACTTGTTTGCTCTCTCCCCTTTCTCCAGGACTGTCCACCAGAAGCAGGTGATTTTCGAGCTCAGCAGTGTTCTGCTCATAACGATGTCAAGTACCACGGCCAGTTTTATGAATGGCTTCCTGTGTCTAATGACCCTGACAACCCATGCTCACTCAAGTGTCAAGCCAAAGGAACCAGTCTGATCGTTGAACTAGCACCGAAGGTCTTAGATGGTACACGATGCTATACGGAGTCACTGGACATGTGCATCAGCGGCTTGTGCCAAGTAAGTGCTGAAGCCTACCCGTATATAAGCTTCTCAGGATTACTCGGTTATCTCTAGAGTTGGGTAAAGGATAACAGATTTGAAGATTGTAATTTCAGGGAATGGTGCAGGTATTGTAATCCATTAAGGACATGCAGAGTGCAGATGGATTTGATTTTGTTTGGTTTCTTTATTCCTTTACTTGAATAATACTTGACTGTGGAATAAAAATTCTTGAATATTGTCCACGATGATGAAGTTTGAAAATACCTGTAGCTCAAATGTCCTTGAAATTTTTAAAAGAATAGAAGGAGGAAGGAAAGAAGAGAAGGGAACAGGCAGAGAGAGAGAGAGAGAGAGAGAGAGAGAGAGAGAGAGAGAGAGAGGAAGAAGAAGAAGAAAAAGAAGAAGAGGAGGAGGAGGAGGAGGGAGGAAGGAAGGAGATTATGTGTTTTTAGGTATTCATTTTCATCTATAAAGAAGTTCAGAGTAACTCAGTTAGGAGAAAACACCTCCTTACTGCCTACAGCTATGTTGAAAATTCACACAAATTTTAGCGAGTGGTAGAGGTTTCAGACAGGCAACCCTTAAAAGCCAAGGATATAAAAGAAATTGATTTCAAGTATCAATTCATCAGTGTGTGCTGGTATTAGTCCATTTGCCATGAACATGTCTTCTTCATTTTAAGGCTCATTTTTGGACTGTTATGAGCAGACCACATTATAGAATGAGCAGGTTATCTGAATGCTGTTACTCACTATAGTCTTTTATGTGCAACAGTACAAACATTTTAGGAATATTTGCCTCAAGTGGTAGGACATTTACTGGGTCTGAATCTATGACATAATAACTTATAATAAGAAAAATATGAAACATATTTCAGTGATTTCTTTTAAATTTACATTTATTTAAAACAAATCTACATGTTGATTTCTAAGAAAAATGCAGTGTAAATTGCTATGAAACATGAGAAGTGAGATAAGGTTTGTGCATGAGAGAAAGAAGCAGACACAGTTAACCTTCATACAGTTTAGGGCAGTCATACAGGAAGGGGCGTGTTCAGGTTTTTCAGATAGGAGAAGGGAGACGAGATACATATATCAAAGGTTTCTTTATATATGGAATATGTGAATTCAAGGTGTAAATGAGAATGTAGAATTTTATTCTTCTCAAGATTGCAAAGGTCTTAGAGAGTATCCACATACCTTTAAAAGCACCATATGTAAAACATTGTCGTGGTGTTTTACAACTATTTGCAAAATTATTTGTGATTATTTATAAATAGTAGGGCTGGAAAGATGACTCAGTAGTTAAGAATGCTTCCTGCTCTTCCAGAGGACCCAACTTCCTTTCTCAATATCATTTTAGGAGGCTCACAACCACCTCCAAGAGATCCAGCACCCTCTTCTGGCATCCATGGATACCCGCACACACACTCACACAGGTACACACATAGACCACACAAAAATAAATCTTTTAAAATACTATCATCTAGGACTCTTGATTTATGGAAATGGAATTATGAAATCTGTAGACCTTTCAGGGACAGTCAAGAATCATAAAGCCAATAAATACACGGAAAAGGCTGCACTGCGAGGAACGGGAGCTAGAATCCCTCGCCTGTGCGCACAGCTGGATGCCTCGCAGATAAAATCCAAGGCTAGAAACGTGCGTGATCTTGTGACAATTACGTCATGTCAGAAATGGGACCGGATTCCAGGTCTTCTAATAGCCATGTCAGTGTTGTTTCCACAACGCTACGTTTGCAAATGAAGCAAAATCAGCCTGACAGGTCAGCAAATTAGGTCTCAACTGTTCCCGTGGCACGAGAGCTCAACCTGGCACGGTGTCTCCGTGTCTTCCTGCCAGCTGGCCTCGCATATCTTGGTAACTAAAAGAAAATCCTATCTCAGCAGGAAAAAAAAAAAACCTTCTACAAGAGTAAATATGGAGAGATAATGTTGTATTATGAATTAAAAGCAATTATAAGTATAAGCTTGCCTTTTTAAGTTAGAGTCACACAATTGTGATTTGTTTGATTTGGGAGTAAATGTGCTCCATACATAGAAATCCCAACTGTCTGTCACCGGCATATTTCTCGTGTCATTAGTTATGCCACGGTGAAGTAGGAATCTTAGATTCCATTTGAACACGAAAAAGTAGTGTAATTCGGCTGGATAGAAGTTGGATTACAGACTGAAAGTGAGCAAATTGTTTTATAACTGATCGTTGTGGGTTGCGTAACAGATAGAACCACAATAGATAGTAAATGGGCACGAAAGACTTAGCAATGGAGAGAAGCACTCAAAGCTCTTCTTTAGAAAGATCCTTACAGGCTCACTTAGAAGGGGCCTGAAGCAGACAGCCCTGGAGTCACCGAGACCAGTTCTGATGCAGGGTCTGGTACCAGCTAGGAGGACTGAAGCATCAGCCTTTCGCTGGGTAATGGCAGCCGGAATAGAAAGAAAAGTAAATGCAGAATGAGATCACTTTCACCAGAAGGGAGTCGAAAGCCATAATCTAACCAAGCATATAAAAAAACTGCAACTTGATGTGGATTTACAAAAGGTGTAAGCTCGGGTCCTTCCTCCTCCAGTATCCCTGGAGCGTTTCAGTCAGGCCAACCTAAGTTTTCCAAAATGAACCTAAGGACAGGGAGGTGGAGGTGATTGTTGGGGGGATGGAGATGAGCAGAGGTCACTGAGGTGATGGGGGAATAGAGATCTTCAGTGCGTTGTGTATACTGTCAGGAGGGCGAGATTAATTAACTAAAGAATAGCTGAAGCACTCCTTTCTCCAGAGACAAAATACACAAATTCCATCCTAGTTACAAATAATCATTTAGTTAGGTTTCTATCAGTGATTCATAGTCCCATTTTTAGTAGGAAAATGCCCCATCTTAAAACAAACTTGGGGATCAGTAACTTAAATGTGCAATTATATAAACCTGTTCTCCTAGCTCTTTGAAAAATACATTTCCAGACAAACTTTCCGTTTCTGTTTACTGCCCCATTTGTCAAAGATTTTTATCTTTTTGTTGGCCTTTTGTCTTACAATTTCTCAAAGGCATCTTTTAATATTTATGAGGCCAGCAATATGAATGACAAACTATAAAGAAAAATTTTTTTAATTTTGACATAACTATTAAAAAAATAATGTACAGCTACAGTGGCTTCTCATCACAAGCACTAATCCTGTCTATCTAGTCCCATTCTAAGAGCGATTGACTCAAAACTTTTTGGTCCTTCATCTCTACAACAGAAATGCGAAGTCCCAGGGTTTTCCTAACAAAAAGACAAATCTCCTCTTTGGGAGACCTGGAGACTGTTGCTAATAAATGGACTGGCTCTATAAGCTATAAATTTGCATGAGGAAAATCTTAGAAACATTGTGATTTATGCCACACACCTCTGTCTTCTTGATCATAGCAAAGCAACGCAGGAGGTGATGTGTTCTCCCTTCCGACTGCAGCGGTAGTAGTCACAAGATTTCACTTTCTCACTGGACGGACAGCTTCCCAAATATTTGTGCTTCTCATGTCATACAGCACTGCCTTCATTTCATAGAGGCAGAAATAGGCTTATGGGATTATATGACTTGCCCAGGGTTACGTGGCTCTGCCTGGCTGCCAGGAGCCTACCCTCCTGCCACTTCGAGTTATATCAAGACAAGTATGATTTAGTAATAGTCCCAAATTTGGCTGCATACCAAAATCACCTGGAAAGCAATTATGAGACACAGCTCTTAAGCCCCATCCTCAAGACATTCAAATTTGTGAGCTCAAAGTCTTTCAAACTACAATTCTATGCAAAGTCAAATTCATGAACCATTTAAAGATTGGACACCAGGTAGCCTTTAAAGAAAAAAAGACAGGAGGTTTTTTTTTTTTTTTTTTTTTTTAACCAACCAGCCCTTCTTTAACCAATTGTATGATGCTGGTCTTGGTATGTAGTTTCCTGAAACTTTATCTTAGTCTGTGTAAAATGAGACTGCCTCCCCAACCAGAGTACCAAGTGAGACCATTGCTGTGAAGCTGTAGACAGCTGCGAAGATATGGAAGGCCCTGAAGATTTTCAGCTAGATGATACTAGAGCACTGGCTTCCAGAAAGAAAAGGAAAGGATGTGGGAGGGGAAAGAATAAGGAGAGGAAGATGGGAGGATAGCATGGTGGTATGATGCTTAACCTAGCATCCCCAGGGTCCTGGGTTTCATCCCCTGAACCAGAACAAGAACATTTGCCACCTACTCCCCATGCCACCCCCTCACAGTTGAAATGTTAGGAGTTAGGTGGGATTAAGAACCTAACTCTACACAAAAGACAGCTCTTTAAATTGAATCTTGTTTCCATTTTGTGGCAATTCCTGCTCCGTACTTTCTCTTTTCTCCCAGAACACAGAAACTGTCACCAGTGGGGCTTCAGAGAGTGACTGTGGAAAACACTTCGTTGAGAATGATTTATTCCACTCTCAAGACACAGGGCTGACTTGAGTTGTGTGATTCTCCGAGGGTTTCACAGTTAACAGCAGACTAAAGGTCAGGGAGTGGCGGTGTTTATCAACATTCTGAAAATATGTTCTCAGTGCTATTTCTTCAGCACATCCCATGGGCTAAGATTTTTGTCCAGCTTTAATTCTGTCATGGATATTATGAAAACAATAGAGTTAGTGACTATACCTTTTCAAATCACCCTCCCATTCACTGCTCCCTACCAAATCTGACAGTCACCCCGGGGCTCACTGTGAGGGTGTAGCCTCACCTTCTGTCTTGGGTTGAAAAACACTAGGATGTTTAGTTGCATTAGATGTGGATTGGAGGCAAAGCTAGAATGGGAGCGCAAGTTTGAATACTTAAGGCCAGAGGCTGTGGACTCAGCACTGCATGATCTACTGGTTAAATTCCACTATTTGCTGGTATATCACCTGAAACAAAATTAAGTGCCTCATTCACAACAAGACCCTGTTGCTGAAAATAACATATGCACAGCTCATTGAACATGGAGAAGGAGAGCTGGTGGCTACTT